CCTGCAATGTGCTGCTGCCGGCCATCAAGAAGATGTCTGATCCGGACTGGATCAACCTGCTGCTCATCGGGGGGTTTTCCAAGAAATCTCGGGGTGAGAAGCTCCGCTCTGCTCCACCCATGCCGGATTCCTTGTCCGTCCCGGCGCAGTCGGACACGACTCCTGTCGGGCTGCCTCCCTCCCCCAGGGCTGGAGAGGGGCTCAGGAGGGAATCAAGGGTGGCTGGTGAGGAAGGAGATGATCCAACAAGCAGGTCCTGCCACACAGAAGAGCCTTTCCTCCGCCCACGAGTCCTGGGCTCCCTCTTCCCTTGTGAGGGTTTGGACCTGGAATCTCCAGCACCCGATCCAAGCCAGGACACTGACCTGCTGGCACCATCACCTGCAGGGGAGCTGCTTGATGAACCCTCCCAGGACACCTCTGTGCTGGAGGGAGCAGCCACTTCAGAGGATGGCACAGGGGACCTGGAGGAGGGCACTGCCCCCAGCTCGGATGCTGGGCTGCTTCCCACCTCTGCCATGCTGAGCTCCTGCCCTGACATCCAGATTGAGCCAGTGGTGGAGAAGGAGGAGGAAAGCCCAGTCGTCCACAGGAAGTTTTCCACACGGAGACCCTCCAGCTTAGGCAGAGATATAGGAGCAGCAGAGTGTTCATCACAAAACCCTTCAGAACCAGGGCAGGCTCTGTCCCTGCTCTCATCCTCCCCAACAGCCTCCATGAGCACCTTCAGCTTTGAGCCTCTGAGCAGCCCTGATGGGCCAGTGGTCATCCAGAACCTACGGATAACTGGGACCATCACTGCCCGGGAGCACAGCGGGACTGGCTTCCACCCCTACACCCTGTACACCGTCAAGGTAAGAGCTCCCCTAGCACTCACCTCTTCTCCCAGATCCCTGCCTTGCCCTGCACAGGCTGATGGTTGGAGGCCAGGACTTGCTCTGTGTATGTCTCCACAATGAACTTTGCCTGGCAGTGAGGGAATATCAGGCACAGTGGCTGTTTGGGCATGGGATAGGGATTCTCACTCTTGGCCAAGGGTTGTATGGGGCTGGTTGAATTTTCTATATCCTGCTTCTGCCAGTTCCTTCTTCATGGGAGGTTCCTTCACCATCTTACCGTATCATAGAATCATTTCATATCATATAGAATGTTAAGGGGTTGGAATGGAGCTTAGAGATCATCCAGTGCCAACCCTCTGCCCTGGGCAGAGATACCTCCCACCAGAACAGATTGCTTCAGGCTTGATCTAAATTGGCTTTGAACACTGCCAGGGTTGGGGCAGCCACAGCCTCCCTGGGCAACCTGGGACAGTGTCTCATCACCCTCACAGGGAAAACTTCTGCCTGATATCTCATCTAAATTTCCCCTCCTTCAGTTTGAATCCATTACCCCTTGTCCTGTCCCTGCAGTTCCTAACCAAGAGTCCGTCTGCAGCTTCCCTGGAGCCCCTTCAGCTCCTGGTAGGTTGCTCTGAGGTCTCCACACAACCTTCTCTTCTCCAGACTGCACAGCCCTAACTTTCTCAACCTGTCCTTGTAGGGAAGGTGCTCCAGTTCTTTTATCAGCTTTGTGTCCTCCTCTGGCCTTGCTCCAACAGTTTCATGTCCTTATGTTGGGGACACCAGAGCTGTGTGCAACACTCCAGGTGTGGCACTTTTCAAGGAAATGTTATTGTCAGGAATTGCTCTTTCGGGTCTGGGGATTGTGGGCCCAGCAGGGACTGCAGCACATGAGGATTGGTTTGGGATGTGTAAGGATCATGCCTGTTGTTTCCTCCTCAGTATGAGACAGCCCTGGAGGGCGAGGGGGCAGGCAGCCTGCAGCAGGTGGCTTACCACACCGTCAACCGCCGCTACCGCGAGTTCCTCAACCTGCAGACCAGACTGGAGGAGAAACCAGAGCTGCGCAAGTTCCTCAAAAGTCAGTGCTGCATGAGCTCTCCAGGAAAATCCTTCTCCCTCCCCTCCCATGCTTCTCTGCCCCGAGGGTGTCTGTCCTGCTTGGGCAGCTCTGGGTGCTGCTGAGCTGTTTGTCCTGTTCCCTGTTGCTCTGTGCAGAGGTGGCTGGAGGAGAGATTTATCCCCTTTGGCAGGAAATTCCAGTGTTTCAAATCATTCCTGTTCCAATTTCCATCACAACACTTGGTGGTTTTGCACCTTGACAGTAACTAGAAACACTGGTGTCTGTGATTTTCTTGGGCTGGTGCCAGGTACTGCCTGGTGCTAGTCTTAAGGAGAGTAGTAAGATTTTAACACCGATTCAAATCTCTGTTCAGATTTTAAGGTTTTAAAATCTCAATTTTTAATCTTACAAAGCTTTAATTTTTTAAGATTTTAAAATCTATGAAATAAGACACTATTTTTTTTCAGTTTTCTTCAGCTTGCTAATGGTTTTGTTTCCTTTGTAGATATCAAAGGGCCAAAGAAACTGTTCCCTGATCTCCCATTTGGCAACATGGACAGTGATAAAGTAGAAGCCAGGAAAAGTCTACTGGAATCTTTCTTGAAGGTGAGATATTTGTGTGCTCTTGGGAGCTAAAAGCAGAGTTTGGCACAGCTCTGTGCTGACAGACAGTGGAGCACAGCAGATCTTTTTCACCTGTATGATCCAGCTGGGAAGTTGACTCCAGAAAGGCCTAAAGCTCCATTTCTCCTTGCAGCAACTGTGTGCAGTGCCTGAGATTGCAAACAGTGAGGAGGTGCAGGAGTTCCTCGCCCTCAACACTGATGCCAGGATTGCATTTGTCAAGAAGCCCTTTGTTGTCTCCAGGATAGACAAGGTAGGCAAGTGGGAAACTGGTTCCCTGGACCTAACCCTGGATATCTCTCTTAGATTTCAGTGTCTACTAGGAGCCAAAAAACTCAAACACCCCCTGTGTACCTGAGTTCAGCTTGCCCAGAAAGCCCTAAAGCTGGAGAGGGGCAGAGCCCATCTCAGAGATATTGGTGTTAAAGCACAAGTCTGAAAACTCTTAATGGATTTGAGGCCTGGGGCTGTGTGCAATAACTGAGGGCACTGATGGCTTTGCAGATCGTTGTCAATGCCATTGTGGACACCCTGAAGACAGCATTCCCCAGGTCGGAGCCCCAGAGCCCCACGGAGGAGCTGAGCGAGTCTGAAGTGGATGGGAAATCCCAGACGGATGGGAAGAAGACGAGCAAGTAAGGGCTCCTGCAGCTTCCCAGAACAAGGAATTCATGGTAACCTGAGCACGTTGTGGGGAAGAACTGACTCGGTGCTTTACGTGTTGAATAGCACTTTGCTGTTGCACATCAGCTGAATTGTTTCTCTTTCACATGCTGATCGAGGGTACTTGAGTTCCTGTTTATCTAAGGGATTTCTCAGGAATGCTCAGGCTTCCACGGAAGGTGCTTTTCCTCCTGAGGGAGCTCTGGAGGTGCTGCCATTTGCCAGCAGAGCCACTGATGCTTCAGTGGAATTGCTTTTTAACCTTAAACCTGAGTCACTGCAAAACGCAGCTGTAAATTCCCTACCTGAAGGTTCCCTCCTGCCTCTCCTGTGTGTTCCACACAGTGGCCTTGCCCAAAAAACATTGGAATATTTATTTAGGAGCAATATTTAAGGTCATTGCATGTGTATGTTGCTCACCAGTTTGTTGGTAGTGCTCACCTCATGGTGATTCTTCCCTCACAGAAGGGAGGGTTTCTGCACAAATATTTCTGGTTTTATTTCCCAAAACATGATGTTTTCTGGAAAACGCTGTTTTGGACAGGAAAACAAACCAAAGCAGAATAAGTTTGGAAGGCTCTTGGCTGGAAAGGACATTCCTTAATGATAACCAGCCTGCTTTGCAGTTTGTCCCCCAATCCTGAGTGTCCTTTTATATCCTCCATTCCGTGTGTGTTTATAACTGGATTTCACAATCCTGCTGAGTGTGTTTCATCTCGGAGGCTTTTCTGAGCACTTTCCTGTGTGTGCTGCAGTTCTCACACCTTGCTGAGTCTGCCTGTACCTACCAGGCAGCTCACACACCTCTGTGTGTGTGGTGCCTCTTGGAAAGCCTTGGATAGGCTCAGGTGTAGGGGAGGAAAAGTGCTTTCATGCTTTTGTTGTGTGGTTTTACTGCCCCCTCTTAGTTATCCTGAGGGCAGATGGTGGTTTTGAACCACTTTAGGGTGTCATCAGACTTTTTAGCTTGGATGTGGCACTGGACAAAGATAGCTGCTCCTGGGGCTTGGCTGAGGCTGGGAAACTCTTCACTCACAGCTTGCAGAGAAAACTGACTGTGCCATGTCTCTCCTTCTCAGGTCCAGGCTGAGGTTCTCCTCCAGTAAAATCACTCCAGTGCTGAGTGCAAGTGAAGCTCATGACAGGATCATGTACTCCATCAGGGAGGGAAGCACTGTAAGTTCTGATCCCTCTTGGAATCCTTTCACTGTCCTAATCACTGCCCTGTTTGGGTGCTGGCTTGTACTAATCCACATGCACAAGGGTTGTGGCTGCTGCAGCCCTGTTCCCACCTGCCAGATCTTTGCAGGAGGACAGTGACCAGCCCTGGTTGTGCTGTTGGCTACACCAAGGTGCAAACCAGGAGCAGTGGAGATCTTGGACTCTGTGTGGCTCTCCGTGTGGTACTAACACACCAGTGCTTTTGTAGGTCTCTAGCACCCTGTCCCTGGCTGCTATGGAATCTTTCATCCAGAAGCAGGAGAAGCTGCTGGAAGCAATCCCCAGCAAAGCTCCTGAAGGGGAGGGAGGCAGAGAAGCTAAGGAGAGCTCTGTGCAGGAGGATCCGGATGGGTTGGACACATCAGAGCAGGGAGCACATCCCGACACTGACTCTGGTGAGCTCAGCCTTCTGTTTGTGCTTTCATTTCTCTCCCCTGGTACCACAGCAGCTCCAGCATCTGCAGGCTCATCTTGCAGGACCTGTTCTCCTGCCTCTTGCACCTGGATTGAAGGGAAAGCAAATGGAGTTTATCCAGTCTTGTTAGATGACTGCTCTGGGCTTTGTTGCTGGTGGAAACTTAGTTGTGTCACTGCAGATCTTCACCTTAGTGTACTCAGCATGGTGACTGTAGAAAGAATTTTCATAAGTACAGTGCTTAGCCTGGCAATGTTCTACAGTCAAGCCCTTGGATACTGAAAAACGGCCAAATTGCAGTTTCTTGGTAGTCTCAAGTTAGCCTTGATGTATCCATGTGCTATAAAAGGACTTTGTGTGATTAAGTTTGGATAGATTCGATGGGAGTAGCAAAAATGTAATCCCAGTTCAGGGAATGATGTTTCCTCTCTGATCCTAGATCCCTCCTCTGAAGCACAGCTTCTCAGAACAGCCTCTCAGAACAGCTACAGATTATCCTGAACACGAGCAAAAATATGTTCTCTAATCTTTTTCTTGGAATAGCTGAGCTGTATCAGCTGGAACTTTCCAAAAACTTCTCTCCAGTGGCTCAGGTTTGGCAAGTCCTGACAGAAAGCATGTGCTAGTGACAGGATGGGTCTGGTACTCTGAATCCCAGCCTGTGCTACCAGCTTTTCCTAGGATCTTGGAACACATGCCCATGGTTTGGGGGCTGCTGGGGAGCAGGACTGGAGGTGGAGGCCAGTGTTCTGCACAGTGCAGGCCAAGGGAGCTGAACCCTGAAGGAAATGGAACATCAATGATGTCAAATGCCTGCAGGCCTGGGATGCTTCAGAGCCCAGACAGGGCAGGGTGAGGGGAACACACGTCTGGAGCAGCTGGATAAAAAGGCAACTCGTGTCCCTATCTGCTCATGGAGTGACTTCTGGGAAGAGGTTGGCCAGCAGCTCTCTGAGGAACAGGACTTGGATGCTGTGGGAATAAACAGAGCTTGCTGCCCATGCTCCCTGTCTGAGGGAAGCTGAACAGCTCCAGATTCTGCACAGGAAAGTCAAGACTCAGAGTGAAGCAAATGAGGAATAACTTAGGCATGGCCCAGAGCAGGAGATGCCAAGTGCCCTGTCTTTTCCAAGCAGAGTGGCCTGGACTTAATTAATTAGTCCAACTTGTATGCATCAGGGGGAGGAAGAGGAGGGGAGGAGAGGTGCTGAGGTCCAGAATCCCTCTGATTTCCAGCAGAAAAGTGTGAGTGTAAATTGTAGGCAGAGTGGTTGGAAGATGAGGCACCTGGTAAGCTAAATCAGGGAAAACTGCTGCACAGGAGCTCACTCTGCCTGCTCTGCTATAGCCTCAAGCTGTGCCAGGGGAGGTTTAGGTTAAACATTAGGAAGAATTTCTTCACAGCAAGGGTGATTAGACACTGGAATGGACTGTCCAGGGAGGTGGTAGAGTCACCATCCCTGTAGGTGTTTAAGGAGTGACTGGATGTGGCACTCAGTGCCATGGTCTAGTTGACATGGTGGTGTTAGGTCATAGGTTGGACTTGATGATCTCAGAAGTCTTTTCCAGCCTGACTGACTCTGATTCTGATTCTGAGCCGAGGCAGTAGCCTCAGGCTGGAGCACTGGCCCAGTGGCTGTCTCAGGCAGATTGTTGGCACATGAATAACGTTCAACACACCTTGGATGCTTCAGGGCCCAGCAGTATTAAAATCATTCTCCAGCAAGTAGAAACAGTTTACCCTGGAGTCTTTGACATCCTCCTAAGGGTCAGAGGGAGGTTTTGCTGTCCCAGGTCTGTGTCAGCAGGGATATGTGGGTATTTGGGCAGGGAGGAGTGTTTTTACTGACACATCTGGTTTATCCAGATGTGGTTCTTCCACCTCCGTGCCGAGCCCGGGACCTGCCACACGATGGCAGCCTGCAGCCACCGACCTGACCGCCTGGAAAATTGCTAGAAGAGGGAAAAGTGATGGGGAAGACTAGGAAAATAGTCCTCAGCAGTGTACCTGTCTCTAGCTGCAGTCACTGCCTGCTTTCCCACCTGCTTTGAGCACGTTAACATCCCCAGGTGTGAACTGGGATTTGATAATCCCTTTGTTTAACTAAGGAACTGAGCCTCAGAGCAGCCACATTCTGGGTTGGTGCAGCCCTTGGTGGGGTAATTTGGGCTGCTTGGATGAAAGAAAAGGTTCTGTGAAGACCTCAGAGCAACCTGCCAGGAGCTGAAGGGGCTCTAGGGAAGCTGCAGAGGGACTCTTGGTTAGGAACTGCAGGGATGGAACAAGGAGGAATGGGGAGAAATTGCAAGAGGGAAATTGAGATGAGATGTTAGGCAGAAGTTTTCCCTGTGAGGGTGGTGAGACACTGGCAAAGGGAGGCTGTGGCTGCCCCAACCCTGGCAGTGTTCACAGCCAGGTTGGCTAAAGCCTTGAGCAACCTGCTCTGGTGGGAGGTGTCCCTGCCCTCCCTCAGGGCAGGGAATTGACACTGGATGATCTCTAAGCTCCATGCCAACCCCTTAACATTCTATGACACTATGAAATTGGAAATGGAAGAGTGATGAGGGCAGCTCCCAGGCTGGCTGGGCTGCAGCAGGTCATCTGTGTGTGAAACAAGGTGCCAGGCTGGGACAAAGAGAATCAAGGAGGCTGTTGGGGAGCAGAGTGAGTTTGGGATGATGCTTCTCACCAGGTTTGCTTAGGCACTGAGTTGGCTTCTTCACCTGACCCTCCTCTTCCTCCTGGCAGACTCTGAGACAGCTTTGGCTGACCTGGCCCTGGACGTGGTTCGACTGGTGCTGGTGGATCACTGGAGTTGGCTCTGCACAGAGAACATGCAGAGAGTCTTCAACCTGCTCTTCGGGACCCTTGTTCAGAGGTGAGACCTGAAGGACCAACCTTGCAGCTCTGAGAGGTTTTTGAGAGCCTTTGGATTACAGTTTGACATGGAGCTCCTGCCTGAGTGCAGATCAATGATTTCTGTCGCAGCAGACAAGGTTCTGTAGAGAAGGTGCTGATGTGTGTAGAGGAAACATCTTGGAGATGTGCATCAGGAGCTGTTTTCCCCATGAGCAGTCATGTAACTAGCAGGAAGCCTCCTGTCCTTTAATAACATGGAAAGGAAGGATCCAGCCCTGGGAATGGGAGTCTTGCCTCATGAAAGGGCAGCAGTGCTAGCTCCTTGGCTCTCCAGGGAGGACTTGCCTCCTGGTCTCCTCCTGGCCAGTAGCTCAGCTTGTTCTGTCTACAAAAGGAGAATAAGCAGGCCCAGGGAATAGGGACTTGTCAATAACAGCTCGAGGCCTGCCAGGGCCTCTGCTCTCCCTGCTGCACTCCCCTGCTCTGTGGTGGGTCAGCAGTGCCTGTGCCTGGGGCAGGGACCCACAGATGGAGTAGGGACAGACTTCCTTTCCAGCTGGTATAGACTTGCCAAGCTTTCCTGGGGCCAGTGCCTCTGGGTGGTAAGGCTCTCAGCCAAGACACACAAACAGAGCATTCCTGGTTCCTGGTGTAGGTTGGTGACTATCACTAGCTGAGGATATGGTACAAGAAAAGCCTTCCCTGAAGGACTTGGGCTAGGAGCAGCCTTGGAGCAGTGCTTTTCCTGCTCCTGTGCCTTTTCTTCCCCAAGCATCCAAAGCCAGTGTCAGAATGTGCAGCACTTTATAGCTGAGATGGTAACTTAAGCTGCCCTCAGTAGAGGTTGCCAAAGTGCTTTGAGGTCAGGCACTGCTGACCTTCACTCCAGACTCTGTTCCCTTGGGTGGCAGGAGGTGGGTGTTGCACCCAGTTCTCCAAAATGGGCTCTGGTCTCTTGAGGAATGAGCTGGAACCCAATCCCTGTGTGTAAGCACAGAGGTATGAGAGCTCGAACAGGCACGTCATCACCTCCTAATAAGCCATGTCCTGTCCCCCAGGGAGCTGCAGCTCCCACACGTGGCATTGGTATTTTCCACTAGAGAAGCTGTCACACACACACACACAGAGCACATGGCTCTGGGAGGTGGAGGAGCTCCATGAGCTGTGCTAGTGGAGCAGTGAGGAGGAATGTGTCTGCAGCTGCTCCACTCTGACAGGTCTGGGTGAGCCCACGTGTGCTGCAGGCAGAGCTCTAGCAGAAGGTGGTGTGGGGAAGCTCCGTGATTGTTGGTGTCACGAGCAGCACAGGGTGCAAATACATCCTCCTGAACAAGCCCTGTGTCCTGGGACTGTCTGTGGTGAAATCCATGTGCTGGGGCTCTGCTCTTGTTCTGCCCCATGTGCTGGGGCTCTGCTCTTGTTCTGGAAGAGTCTGCAGGACTGGTGTGAAGGGGACAGGGGAGAGAGTTGCACAGTGGAACTGTCCCATTGCCAGGAGAATGGTGTTGCTCATGGATTGCTGCAGGGAACATTTTCCTCCTCTGTTTCTGTTGCACATAGTTACTTCCACAGTGGAGGAGAGTTGAGAATGGAGAGCCTTATGCTGGCTTGCCATTGCACCCTGTCCCTGAATCTTGTACTCATGGCTGACCCAGGTGGCCACTGCTGTCCTGAGCAGACCAGGAAGTCAGACTCAGACCAGCCTGTCCAGGGACACGATGTGGATTTGGTGGAATTTCTCTTCCTTTTAAGTATTTGCAACTTGATCACTGCTCAGCCAGACCTGGCACTGCCATTCTGGCTGACACTGTGTCTGGGGACCCCTTACAGGTGGAGAAAATAGCAGAAGCTCTCCTGGAGCATGTGCTATTCAAGGAATCATTGTTCCTGTCTCTGAGAACAGATGGGCAAACACAGGACAACAGACAGACATCCATCCTGTCTCTAACTATTGATAGTCATGAAGTATGAGTTGGCATCATCCCTTCAAGAGATGAGGCTATTCTCTGTTCCTGTCAGTGTTTGGGTTAGGTGTTTGAGGGTGTGGAAAGGAGGTGTCCTGGCAGTATTTTGGGCCTTAGGAGGGTTTGTTGCTGGATATCCCTCTGCCAGCTTGTATTTGATGAGCAGGTGCTGCTCCTGCTTCCTCCTTGGAGGTGGAAGATGATTCTGCTCTAGCATGAGGCATACTCTTAGTGATAGAAATGCCCTCAAATCCACAAAAAACACACCAAGAGCAAGCTCCAGCTTCTCCCAAGAGCCAAACCCCCTCTCCTTGAGGGCCCTTCATTATCTGAAAGGCCTACAGGGAAACTGGAGAAGGTGTTTTTATATGGAACTGCAGGGACAGGACGAGGGGTAATGGGTTCAAACTGAAGGAGGGGAAATTTAGATTAGATATTAGGAAGTTCTTTCCTGTGAGGGTGGTGAGACACTGGCCCAGGTTGCCCAGGGAGGCTGTGGCTGCCCCAACCCTGGCAGTGTTCACAGCCAGGTTGGCTAAAGCCTTGAGCAACCTGCTCTGGTGGGAGGTGTCCCTGCCCAGGGCAGGGGGTTGGGGCTGGATGATCTCTAAGCTCCATTCCAACCCCTAAGAGATTCTACGACTTTCTCCACTGGGCTGACAGTGACACCAGATGATTCCTGTGACCACACTGTTACTGGTTATAGATCCTCCCTGCTCCATTCACCGTTCTCAGCATGGAGCATCCCACCATGCTCCTCTATCCCCTGTTCTCCAAGGCTGGACTAGCTGGAGCTAGGCACTCTGTGTCTCCCTGGCTGTCAGTCGATGGCAGTGGGGAGAGGAAGGCTGTATGACCGAAAAAGGGATTGTTGAGGAAGGAGGCTGAGTGCTGAGCCCAGAGCCTGCGGCGCTCGGCCCGTTATGTAACTGGGAGGGATCCTTTTTTGGAGCCGAAAGGAGAGGGAGGCAGAGGGGAGGTGGAAGGGCTGGGAGGCTCTCTGGGAGTGGGAATGACCCTGGGGCCGAGGATTGCTTCCAGCAGCGTCTCTGCGTGCTGACTCCATGCCTGTAAACAAACCCTGCATCCCACTCCCGCTCCCTCCTCTGTCCCTCCCCTCCCTCCGGCTGGAAAGGCACATCTCTCTTCCCATGGGAAGCTGCAACTGGAACCTGTTTACAAATGGGAGTATGGGGCAATTCTGGCTTCGGGGGGTGTTTGGTGGAAGAACCAAAAAGCATTTGGGTGCCTCTTAGAGCCTCGTGAGTCAAAGCAGCATTAAAAATACCCAGCAAGCGCATGAACCACACCATGGCTGTGACCTGTGCCCTGCCCTCAGTCTGGCCCCAGTGGCATGGTTAGGGCTCTGCCAGTGCTCTGAGGAGCTGGGGACAGTGGTGGCAGCCACCAGCTTGCTGTGCTGGGCTCCTCCCAGGCCTATATATCCTTCCCCTTCCATAGAGGAGCCTCAGGAGAGTGCCAGCATCCCGGGGATGGATGTGTGAGGATTTGAGGTGCAGATCCAGGTGTGTGTGCTTTTCCTAGCTCCTTCCTGTGCAGCACAACAGAAAGGCATGGGAATGCAAACCACGGAGTGGGGGAAAGGTGTCTCAGCACACCCTGACTGTCTGTACCCTGAAACCTGAGCAGGGCTTGGGCACAGAGTCCGTGCCGGGCTCGGAAGCAGCTTTGTATAGAAAGGAGTGTGTGGAACTGCACAGGCAGCTTGGATGGTGTCAAGTTCCACTGAGCATGAGTTAAAATAAATGCAAATCATCCCAGCCTTGCCCAGGAGTTCAGCACTGCTTGGCTTGCTCTCTTCTTTGAGTCACTGCAGTGCTCCTCCAGGCTTTGTCCAAAGCAGGTGGATTTGGGGAGGTGATGTTCCAGTCTGTGTGAAATGTAGGTGGAGAGCTAGGAATGCTTTGAGACTGATTGCAGGTGGCCCTCAGGCTTTTGAGAGTTGTTTCTTGTAAGTTCTTGCTGTCACCTTGGCACTGGGGCTCTGTGCTGGAGCCTGTTGTTGTCAGCCCAGGTGTCAGGGGCACTTGTGGAGCTGCTGGTGTGGGTCAAGGAGTTCCCAGCTTCAGGGAGTTGCTTGCTGGGTGCTTTTCTTCTGATTTTCTCTTCTTTCTTCCTTGATCTCTGTGCCAACAGAACTGGCACAAACAAAAGACCCTTGGCGGCCACCTTGATCCTCTTGACTTGAAAGTGCCACCGGCATGTAGTGGTGCCTGACCCTCTTAGATGTCCCTGAATAAACCTCAGGCAGCCAAGCACCTGTGCCCTGGGTGTGCTGGGAACGTGTGACCCATGGGCAGGCAGTTCTGCCCAGCCCTGGAGCCATGCAGGGGCCATGTCTGACATCCAAGGTAGTGCCCAGACCTCATCTTAGTGCTGGGTTGGGGTACAGGGGGGTTCAGCCCAAAGCTGGGCTGTACACGTCACCCACGTGCTGGGGTGGACGTGGCTGTGTGTGGACAGGCACTCACTGTGGAGCCTGCCTGTTCACTCCCTGCTGCATTGTCTTTGAAGACATGAAATCTGAGGGTTGTTTTGTGCTCTTCAGTTGCCAGGAGAAGCCAGGAAGGTTTATGCTGAAGCTGTTCCCAGTGTGGCTTCTCCCAGTTGCCTTTGGCTTTGTAGGTGGCAGGTCCCTTACCACTCCAGGGTAGCACCTCTGAGATTTGCTGGCAGAAACAAGCAGCCCAAACTGCAATGTTAGTGCAGCTGGAGCGACTAAACCCACTCATTCTGCTCCCTTGTTACCTGGGGACTTGATTTGGGCATGTTTGGTAAGAACCCAGAATCTGAAGGGGCTCCAGGGAAGCTGCAGAGGGACTCTTGGTTAGGAACTGCAGTGAAAGGACAAGGGGAGAAATTGAAAGGGGAAATTTAGATTAGATATGAGGAAGAAGTTTTTCCTGTGAGGGTAGTGAGACACTGTCCCAGGTTGCCCAGGGAGGCTGTGGCTGCCCCAAGCCTGGCAGTGTTCACAGCCAGGTTGGCTAAAGCCTTGAGCAACCTGTTCTGGTGGGAGGTGTCCCTGCCCAGGGCAG